TCGCTTCTCTCACGAGTTCACTAAATTTCGACTTTTATTACTATTATTATTATTATTACTATTTTTCCGGCTGTCGGTGTTGCTGTTTTGAGAGCTTTCGAAAGAAATGGTTTGGCCCTATTTGTCCCCGGTAAACACGCGTAATAGTAACATTTTTCTTATTGTACCACAGTAAGGATCATCCCAAAGGGTGAGGCTTGAAGGAGCGCCCGACGTAAACCCCACCGTCCCGTGCGGGGAGGCGGGTGGAAGAGGCCTTTACTTCTTTATATTATAAATTCATTCAATATTGCATAAATGATGTAACAATAAGGAATTAATTTGGACTCTCTATTGACTACTGGGCCTAAACATATGTGTATACGTCTCCGTGGACGCAAAGACCAAACAACAAATATACATGATGTTTACTTCTCCCTTCCCACCTTTTCATTGGGGATAAGTGATTCATGAACTAATTTAATTTGTGTGGTTGCACAGGGATATATATATATATATATATATATATATATATATATATATATATATATATATATGAACATGTATATGTACGTACGAATTATAATGATGATTTTACTGCTATATTCCCTACTACATTTTTTTTTCTGTGCGTGCGCCTTTCTGATGTTTTTTTTTTCTTGCAATAGTGGATAGGGAAGAAAGCTACCATACAGGTCTGATGGTTCAGGGTGGTGTGGTGGAGATCCCCCCTAACTTTGTTCCACTGGAACATGTTTGCCGGGCTCTCAAGAACGCTGACTGCCGTACCCCCGTTATTTTCTTTTATGAAGATGGTGATCCTTTTCTTTCTCTCTGCAAAATTGCCAGAGAGATGCAATCCGCCGTGTGGCACTTTGACCTTGCAGTAATAAAAAGCATTCAAAACGTCATGGATTACATCGATGTGGGAACAAAAAACGGGGACTGGGTGTTGATCTCACACTGTGAGGAAGTGGAGCAACACCTCTTCCGTGAAGTTGCTCTTAGGGTTTTTCTCTTGAAGCCGGAGCCGAAGAAGTACCCTCGGCGAGAGTTTTTTCGGTGTTTATTTTGTGTGGAAAAAGGCCTTTGAATTAGAGGGAAACGCGATGACGCCATTTCCTCCGGTCCTTCTC